CCCAAGGTTGACTCAGCCTTCCATTCTTCCGAGGTGGGTGAAATGAGGACCCAGACTGTGGGGGCGATATGCTGACTCTATAAACCGCTTAGAGAGGGCTGAAAGCCCTATGAAGCGGTATATAAGTCTAACTGCTATTGCTATTGCTATTCAGCTGCAGATGCATTATTAATATTGTTGAAATTTAAATTGGGAAGATGCACATCAAATGTAACGGAGAGGAAAATAATACTGTATAAATGTGAATGTGCTGATTATTTCCTAGAGAATCCCAAGTATGACTTATAGCTAATTAAAGAAAAAAAATATTTGTCTCAGAAACCGATGTCTGCCATGGGAGAAAATGTTTTTTTTCCCCGTTTGTACTTGCTGTTGAACTTTGATGAAGGCAGCAGTGCCAGCAGCTGAAAGAGGCTGATTCAGAATCACATCTTTCGCTCCACTAAAATGATTTTTTTTTCTAGAATGGTCTTTATTCCTAGGATGCTTGTTTTAGGGTCAAATTGTTCTTGGTTTTCATAGCATTCTGTAGAAAGTTTTGCTTTTACATAAAACCAGAGTCTGTAAATCATAAATTCACAAGGCATCATTTTATGGAAATAAATGGTTATCATAAAAATACAAACAAATTCAAACCTTTAATTTGCCATTACATTTTCTCAACACAAATTCCAGTGTTTTGAACTTTAATAAATATACATTTTTAAAATTCTCCGGTGTCTAAAATCATAAAAAATAGGTCCTTATTTCCTCTGTGGCTAGCACACGCAGCTGGTCTTCTGATCAAAAATAACTCACTACATCTCATTGGGCAAAATATACACACAGACACAGATGTCACATCATTTAGCACATATTGACGAATGATAGGCAAATAGTTACACATTCAATTTTTTTACATCAAAGTTTTATGCAGCATGAAAGCAACATACATATATATATATATTTAAAGAGCATGACTCTTCCCCTCTTCTAAAAAGGCCTCGTGGAATCAAGGTTGATTTAAAAAATAATAATTTAGCAAACATTCATTTTATATGGGACTTTTGTCTAGGTTTGAAAAAAAGTAAAATTTGTACACACAATCTTTAAAAGCAGAATAGCCAAACCTCCAATCCACATTAAACACTTTTACAATTCAGAGGGCCAATAGTTTAGGTAGATTTTTAATTCTCCCACTGAAAAAAAAATGGGTGTAAATGTCTCTAACTTAGTTGGAGTGTGTTTGTCAGTTGGCATCTGCTTTTCTATATGAAAGTGGGGGGAAAGCAGCAAGAGTTCTGAGAAATATAAATACGAAACACAGCTGATGTTCAAAACAAGAACATCTGTTCTTCTCTTCATTAACTGACATTATTCTCTACATCAGCATTTCTCAACTTTGGCAACTTGAAGACGTGCGGATTTCAATTCCCACGTTGGCTCAGGAATTCTGGGAGTTGAAGTCCGCACCTCCTCAAGCTACCAAGGTTTAGAAGTACTTCACTACAGTGGAGGTCTCCAACCCCCAGTCCGTGGCCCAGAAGCCACAGAAGAGCAAGCAAGGAAACGAAGTCGCATTTGTGTAAGCGGCACACATGCGCAACACACACCCTCTCCTTTCCTCCCACTACCACTGGTCCGCAGAATGGAAAGAGTTGAGAACCACTGCTCTACAGTTCAAAAAACATGCTTTCTCACAAGGCAATTCTGTGCACTTGGGTTATTTTGGATAATGATTGTGCATGTGGGTACCTATGCATGCATTGTCAAAGTCTATAAATTACGCTGCTTGGTAATATAAGAGATGTTGAGCTGCAAAGTGAAGTATTTTAACTTTCAGACCAACCACCAAGGAATATGCATGCTTTCTCAGGATTTACAGAAATTCAAAAGTTCAATCTTGATTTGAATCAATACAAGCTGGGCTGTTTTCTTAGCAAAATAAACAATCTGCTGATTCAAATCTGCATAAGAAACATTTTAGACTTTGTGCAAGTTCATTAATTAAATCATGCCTGGTGTGCACCTGCTTATTTTCTTGCACATTCACTCAAAGTGAAGTAGTCTCGTAGCATCAACTAATACGTTTTATGAAGAGGAACACACTTTTGTTATTCAGAAAAGGTGCTATCCGACTTCTAATGTTGCTCCTACCATAAGTAACACGGCATTCCTTCTACAACGTCACAACTGAAAAGAAGGGGTTTCTGCAGTTAGAAGTAATGCTAAGTATAAACTACACCACAGATAAAACAGGAAATGATCTAAATGCTTTCATATTAAACACAATTAAGGGGGAATTTCTCCCAACACTGCCCTCTGGTAGGACAGGAAATCCAACAAGCCGATAAGAGATGCTAAATTATGAAACTTTAATTCAATTTGAATGTGTAAAATTGTGCCTCCTACCCGCCTACCTCATTCTTCTGATTAATAAATTCAAAAAATATCAAAAAATTAATAATGCAAACAAAATTCAGAGATGTCTTAAAATACGTTTTGGCTTCATTTTTTTTTTCTTGCAGAAGTCCATTTCATTGAAGGACAGTAACCTTCCTCAGATCAAATTCTGAATTTATAAATCTAAATTTAGATGACAGATTTCTTGAAAAGAAAAAAAAAAGGATTATTGAATCTTCCTAAGCATCCAAACATTTCCCGCTCCTGATGCTTTTTAATTGGAGAGGCAAAATCATAAATGAGAATGAGTTCGGAAATAAACACTGAGCTCTCATATAGGTTCTTCTAGTAATATTTTAAACCTTGCATGTAAATTATCAATCATCATCATACTAAGAGTTGGCTACTCTTATCCTGATATTCCAGAACTGAGGGAAAAGGCACTTTGGCTAAAAAAATCACACCTGCTTGAGGCCATTAGGAAATACACAACTAAGGCAACATTATTTGAACTAGAGCAGTTCTGAAACTGTAAGTCAGGAATTCAGGGAAGGGATTTTACAATTAAAGATGGAGAAACAAGCAAATTGCCTTGAGAATGTTCTCAAAGCTTCTTGCTTTATCCATGCAAGCTCAAGAGGCAGTTGTAGTACCAAAAGTTTGAGAATTCCAGTGCGATGCAGGTTAGAAATAAATGATAAAGGTGGTATACTTTTTTTTGTCCAATGCTAAAAACCAGTGAAATTATCATTTTTATCTGTGGGGGAAGGTTCACATCAATTTAGATGTGTTTTGGGATTTGTGGTCTACAGATTTCCTATCTTATATGATCTTTTTTCTCCTTATATATAGTAGTTCGATTAATTCCAAAGTGGTTTGAGTTAATGAAAGTCCCGTGTATTTTCCCCGTTGATTGAGAAAAATTAATTGTGGGTCTAATCATGCCTGAAACATTCCAAAATAGACCTTTTCTCAAATATACCCTAATTTATAAAGACGACAGAAATGAAAAACCGACAGAGCTGGTCCTTTCTCCCAACTGTTTCGAACACAACGCTGTGAAGATATTTAGTTCCCTTGACAAGAGGTTTCATTTATTTCAAAAACTCTTTCGACCTTTTCTAAAAGATGGAGTAATTAAAATATTCTTAAACTTTTTCTAAAGAGTCAATTATGGGAACAGAGTGTAATTTTGTTTTTTAAAAGAGCAAAATGAACAGGAGGCAAGCTTCAAAAGTTAGATAAATTTCAACAGAATTAGATGACACTATTAAAAATTTGTAGTAATTTCAAAACAATGCTGACGATTGGCTATGGACTCCACCCAAGGGGGAGGAAGAATCTAAATATGCTGAAGGATGCAAAGAGAACCAAACTTCCTTAGAAACCTACTGGGGCTTCATTTATGAGATGGATTCCTAAACTCTGCCAAGCTAGAAGCAGTGACTTACAATCCACAATTGGATTTACATGACATGTTAAGGCACAAATGAACAAGCCACCTATTGTAACTCAATGCAATGAAGAAATCCAGTGAGACTCCAGGCTTACGCAAAAATATTGTCCTGAGGCCATAAAAGTACACATTGCAGCCTTTAAAAACATTTCAGATTCATATCATAAATGAATGAATTTAGATACTCTAACATGTCAGTCTTTTTTAAAAAGACTCACAAATCAAGCTTTAGATTCTTCTCCCTTTCCCTCTCCGCTGAAATGCCAAATACAAGTAAACTCATGCAATTCTTTTTTAATATAAAAAATATCAAAGTTCTTTGCTCTCCTGCTATCAAATTTGAAAAAAAGAACACAACAGCAAATATATGAAATATACAAAAGAACTGCCATATAAAATGTATAAAATTATCTACAGCTATATATATAGATGTATTTATATATATTTATATAAAACAATGTATTTTAAGGCAAGGCGTCCCTTGGGATAGAAATTTGAGAAGAACCTGATGGGATACATTGTCCTCCGGAGTTCTGCAATCTTGCTGAAATTGAGTAAAAACCCCAGCATAAAATCAGATCTTGTGTATTATTGACAATTTATTCCTCAAAGGTGAGTCTCTTGTTCAAGATGGATTTCTCCTGCTCTATACTCCTTGTAGCATTCCTATGGCTCAGTCCATATTTCAAAGTCATTTCTTCCCCCAATAATGAATTCCATTTACTGGTCTCCATATGGCACAAATGATGCAGTCGGGCAAGTACTCGGAAGGGCTCGCTATCTGTAACTTCAATGAGCAACTCACAGGAAATTGTGGGATTGTCACAAGTAGGTGCAGCTTCCCAAGGTGACAGTCTTGGCATCCTCACTCCATGGCAAATGGCAAATGAATGCAGACTCCAACCACAGGGGACGACCACAATGTTACAGTAGAGTAATTTATCCAAGGCACCAGAGTCTTCTTCACTATTTCCTGATGGTTCAAATTGAAGTTTCATTACTGCCTCTGTTCACGAGAAGAAGTAACCATGCAACTTAGGGTTAAATAGTGCCAAGCTGACAATCGCAAGTGAAACTACTAGATTATTATACTTATGTTAATATGCAGAAGAAAAGCCATGCTTCAGCAGCTAAGTGGACATCGCAAAAGGCCAAAGTGACAGAAAATTCTTGAGAATAATATTGGGGAGGGGGCGCAGGGCCTTAGATGAAGGTAACTGACAAGGAAAACATTTTGGGAGAGAAAGACAGAAGTTACGTTTGAGAACCCAAAGCGAGTTTATCTGATTAAATCCACAGAGATTATACTAAACCTTACAGTTTTTGTGACTCAGAGGTCACAAAAAGTGTTTCAAGCTAGTAATCTGAAAAGTGTTAAAGGACATGAAAGAGAAATAGGGGAGGGGGAGAAGCGAGGGGAGAACAGATGGTTCTGATGCTGATTCCTGAATGAGTGTCCAAAACAAGCCACTGAAAAGAATTAAAAGGTAAGTCTTTGGAAAGAAATAAGCACCAGAAACTCAAGAGAAAGTATCATGGTAAACATGCAGAATGGGGCACTCACTCAGAATCCGAGTTATTCTCAGCCGTTATTGTCCCCATGTGAACATTCATGGCTAAGCCATTCATCTGTTCTGGAGGGTTTTCTCTTCTTGGGTTTTTGATGGTTACTCCAGAGTCTGAAGTGGAGCGAACACCATTGTTAGTCCCAACAGAAGTTGTTTTAGGGGAGATGGCAGTTTGATGATAGTCTGACAATTTTTCTCGTAGCCGATTCTTCATGTTTTTGTCCACCAATGGAGGAGGGTAGGTGATTTTATTTTTCAATATGCCTAACACAGGGAAGAAGAGGATATGACCATCATATTAATATAATAAGACAAAAAAATCCCAAAAGATGCATTTAGTAAAAAGGCTTTATGCATATTTATGCTTGAAATGAAGAAAGTTTCTGCTTCAACTTCTATAATACTTTTCACTTAACATACATCAGGATATGACCTGCCCCACCAAGCAAATGTAGGGTCAATAGGAAAATATTACCTATTAATTGTAGTTTATGGTGAGGACTATTTTAATAAGGAAGTAGGATTAAAACAATGAAGGAAGTCCCCTATGTTTATAAAGACTTCCTGTAAAGGTATTGGAATTCCTGCCACTTCATACATGAAGCTAAAAGAAATTCAGGCTGGCCAAAATGTCCTTTCTTGTCACAAACCAATTAACAGTTTTCAACAGCCAGTCAGCATATGTGTAATTTCAGATTACAAGAACAGCATCTTAGAAGTATACTTGCCAGTATGTGAAATGGCTTTAAGCTATAAAGGTAAAGGTTCCCCTCGCACATATGCGCTAGTCGTTCCCGACTCTAGGGGGTGGTGCTCATCTCCTTTTCAAAGGTGAAGAGCCAGCGTTGTCTGAAGACGTCTCCATGGTTATGTGGCTGGCATGACTAAACGCCAAAGGCGCACGGAACGCTGTTATCTTCCCACCAAAGGTGGTCTCTACTTTTCGACTTGCATTTTTACATGCTTTCGAACTGCTAGGTTAGCAGAAGCTGGGGCTAATAACGGGAGCTCACCGTGTTACGTGGCACTAGGGATTCGAACCTCCAACCTTTAGATCAACAAGCTCAGCCTCTTAGCCACTGAGCCACCACGTCCCTCTTTAAGCTATAGCATTGAACAATTTAGTTCTTATTTTTCTTTGTACTGCAACTTGCATTAAGAGCATAACAAGAACTATATCAGGTGAGGCTGAAAGTTCATGTTTCAACAACTTGTTTCTCGCGGTGGCCACCCAGAACTCTCTCGACAGCTCACAAGTGAAGCAAATTCCTTTTAGGTTTGTTCCCCCAGCAATCAATATACATGATAGATCTATTAATCACATCATTAATAAAGATTGATACTATACTTCATGAATGTATCTTCTCTCCTATTAAAGCCATATAATTAAATAGCGTTCATCCCATTCTGCAGTAGTGGATTTCATAATGAAAACCTTCTCTAATACCTTTCCTCTGTTCTGGTGGCTGATGGTTTTGATGAGGGACTGGTTTATTCTCCTTCTGCTGCCCCTCGTCCTCTTTTTCCTGAGGTATTTCACTGCTGTGGTTCACTTGATTTTCCTGATGCAGTTCTACATTAACTTTGGTTTCCACCTTCAGTTTTTGTTTTGCATTCGGCTCCTCCTCATCACTTGCATCGACGCCCTCAGATGGCCAGTAAGGTCTTACATGATTGGGTACTGTATCAACTGCAGGATGCAAAATATTTAAAACACAATACAAACACATGCAGACTTTTGAACTAAAATTTCAACGAGGAACTCTTCAGATTTCTACAATTATCTTCAACTTAAAGTGAAAAAATCCCTGGGCAAAATTTTTTGGTTACACGATGGAATTAGATAAATTGCAAAAAACATGGGATAGGAACTATACACTGACAATGCTAATGCATATAAGGAAAATATTTATCGGTGGCATTTGCCACTGTCAAGATTGGCAAAAATGTTTAGTAATATGTCTGCCAAATGTTGGAAATGTAATCAGACCCCAGGTATTCATTATCAAATGTGGTGGATTTGTATGAAAGCAAGAAAATATTGGAAGAAAATACATACTTGGTTGGAAAAGATGATTAAGCAACACATAGATCTGAAACCAGAAATATTTTTGTTGGGTATAATGCCAGAGGATTATGATAAAGGGATTGTATATTTAGTTTTGCATGTACTGACAGCAGCAAGGATTGTATTTGCACAATGTTGGACAAATGAGAAGACTCCATCAGATGAGGATGTAGTTCGGAAAATATTAAGACTGTGCAGAAATAGATAGATTGACTTTCAAAATAAAAGACAAAGAAGATATAGAATATTATTTGTCATGGAGTAGATTTTATGAGTGGTTAGAAATAAGAGGTAAAATTAGATGAAGAAAGATTATTGCTATATATGAATTAAACATAAGATGGTTTATAATTATAAATATGCCAATATAATTAACAGAATTATGAATAAGCCAATATAAAGAAGAAATTGAACCAAAACTATTCTGTTATATTTTTACTATTGTTACTAGCATATGTGTTAATATGTCATTTTGTTCTCTTCTTGTTTTTCTTTTGTAACTGATATACCCTGACAATACACTGTATTCAAAATGTTTATGAATAAAAAGAAAGAATGAAAAAGAGAAAATCCATCAGGAAGGAAAGACCTTTCGATTGCTCACTCTTCACAGATAGGTAGAGTCTTTATGATGGTCAATGATTAGTCCACCAAACACATTGCACACATAAAATTAATTGCTTAGTTAATTAGGTAAGCATGCCAATCAAACTGCTGAGCATGTCTCGTATTACAGGGCATAATTTGCCACAACTGAAGAAAATACTGCAATAATCACTTGAAACTGAAAGTCAAATTTGTAAATAAAACAAGATTAGAACGATGAGGAAATGCAATTAAATGTGGAGTTGACAGCTTGAGGCAGATGTCAGCATACAACAGTAAAGAGACCTCTAACGACCTCAACAATTCCTTTCCTCCATGGGCTTAGTCTAGAGTTGGCTGGAATAATACTTATATTGCCCTCTAAAATCACTAATGGAATTTCTATAGGATTATTTTTTTTTGTATTTTAAATATGGCACAGTCTTTACAAGGAGCCTGAGGTTAGGAATATCTGAATTGTATAGATGGGGTTTTCAGGTAAGCAACCTTAATGTCTATGGAGATTCTCAATCATTCAGGTCATAGTTGTCCCAAAAGTGCTTTTTTTTCAAGAGGCAGCTGGATTTCCTTGTTTTTCCTTTGAAGACGGCTCCCTTCTCATCCAAGAAGCTTCTTCAGCTCTGATTGGGTGGTGGGGAAAGGAATATAAATCCTTCCATTCCCGACCATCCAGTCAGAGTCGAAGAAGCTTCTTGGATGAGAAGCGAAATGTCTTCAAAGAAAAAACAAGGAAGTCCAGTTGCCTCTTGAAAAAAAGCACCTTTGGGACATATTGTCCTCAAAAAAAATCACACACTGAGTGATTTTCTTGGCCTCGAGGCTCCTTTTTTCTCAAGGGGGAAGCTCAAGTGCTTATACCAGGGGTGTCAAACGCGATTTGATTGAGGGCCGCATCAGGGTTGTGTTTGGGGGGGAGGCATGGCCAGGATGGCTGTGGCTAGCTCACCGTCACTCATCGAGGCTCTGTTTTCAGCCCACTCAGGCTTTGTTTTCAGCCGTGACAGCCTCCTGCATCTCTATATCAGCAAAAATGGAGCTTGGGGAGGCCGTGTGCAGCTTCCCCAAGCTCTGTTTTCTCTGGAAGAGGGTCATAGGCAGAGGTGGGTTCCTACCAGTTCGCACCTATTCGGTAGAACCGGTTCGTCAAATCTACCGAACCGGTTAGAAGAGGTTCCACCAGTGGACCCAGAAAGCAGGCCACACCTACAGAAGAGGTTCCAACATTTTTTGAAACCCACCACTGGTCCTTGGATATTTGTGAAAGGTAAGGATGACTACTGGCGTTTGTGGTGCAATCAGAATGCAATCAGCGTGTGTTGAAGTTGTTTTAACGCAAACCAAAGATGCCTTTTAAAAAACAGGTTTACATCATATTCTTATGCATGCCAGTGGTGTGTGTGAGGTAATTTAATGTGGTTCTGACAAGTGTCGTCAGCATCTTCATATCCGGTCACATGGGTGGCAAGCCACTCCCATCCAGTCACATGGGCAGCAAGCCACTCCCACAAAGGAGGCCACACCCACAGAGTAGGTTCGAACAGTTTTTGAAACCCACCACTGGTCACAGGAGACCTTTGTGGCCAAAAACCAAGCCAGAGAGGGCCACGTGTAGCCCTCCCGAGCTTCATTTTTGCTGGCGGAGGCACTGCGGACCGGTCTTTCGCTTTTTCCAGGGCCGGATCGAAGCACTCCGCGGGCTGGATGTGGCCTGGTGGCCTTGAGCTTGACACCTCTGGCTCATACTCTTTACCTTTAGGAGTGCTGTGGACTGGAATCCGTTCGTTGTTTTTCACAGTGCCAGTGTTCCATTTCTTCTCCACGCCTATCACATCTTCCTCACTATCTGACGAGTGAGAGGAAGCATACGAACTGCTGTGTTCATCAAGGGACAGTTCACTGTCAGAATCAGAATCACGTTCTGTGGATAAAAACAACCAGTCAGCCAGTGAAACGAGCGGAGACGAATAAAACTGAAATTTTGCCATAGATTTTCTGCAACTACCCTGGGATGAGCTTTTTACTATATGCAGCAATACAGCCAGGTGAGATTCCCAGGAGATAAGATATGATACTAGGAAGCAGCAGTGTGAGTAAAATCTAACCTCTGTAACTAGAGGTAGTCCACGACTTAAAACACTTCATTTAGTGACCGTTCAAAGTTACGATGGCACTGAAAATAGTGGCTTATGACCGTTTTTCCAATTATCGTTGCAGCATCCCCATGGTCATAGGATTTACATCCAGATGCTTGACAACTGACTCCTATTTATGACGGTTGCAGTGTTCAGGAATCATTTTACGACCCCCTGACAAGCAAAGTCAATGGAGAACCCAGATTCACTTCACACCCGTGCTACTAATTTAACAACTGCCGTGTTTCACTTAACAAATGTGGCAAGGAAAGTCATAAAATGGAACAAATTTACTCAACAAATTTCTCATTTAACAACATACATTTTGGGCTCAATTGTGGTCATAAGTTGGGAACTACCTGTAATTTCTCTTTATGCACAATTGCCTGTTTTTTCCAAGAAAAAAGGTAATTCTTGGATTCCATTAGCCATCACTTTTGTTTGAGAGTGGCAGAAATCAGCATTTGTGGCAGAGTGGATGTGGCCAGCTGACACCTTCAGTCTTCAGCCACCATATTGTCATGAAGACACAGGAGACCCACTTATTGTGAGCTTCCACTGCTGAGGGGATACTTGTCCTAGTCTGGGACTAGTCTACTCCATCCTTTTAACAACTATACCAAATAAAAACCCAGATGTCTATAACCTTAATCCAAATGCTTTGCATTTTTTCCTCTTCTTCTAATGGACCCTAATCATGATGACAGAAGATGTAAATTAGTGTAATATACAGTACTTTGGTTGGAAAGATGCTGGAGGTCTGCAGGGGTCGGGAGAACCTCTAGCTAAGATTCTGTGCAGTTTGGAGAACCGCCAAATCCCACTAATGGCTGGCTCCTCCCCTCCCAGGAATTCTCATGCGGCCTGTTTTGGAGGTTCGGAGGGGGCAAAAAAATGGGCCTACTGGAAGTTTGGGAAGGCCAGAAATGGGCCTCTGGAGTCTAGGGAGACCATTTTTGCCCTCCCGGAGGCTCGAGAAAAGCCACTGGAGCCCAAGGAGGGCAAAAACTCCACACTCACACCCCACTGTGGTGCATGAGGCCGTCTAGGTCATACCCACCATGGCCACACCCACTCAGCAACCGGGCAGAGAACCCCTTGCTAACATTTTTGAAGCTCACCCCTGCTTCCAACCTGTGCTTTGAAATAACAGCTAAAGGTTCAATGCCTGCCAAATCAGGATCACTGATGTAAAATACATGTCTCAAACTCTAGGATTTTCATTGAGCATTTTAACTATTTTTTTTCTCCTTTGAAAGCAATTGTCTGCTTCTGCTTTCCTGATTGGTATGGCCTTAACTTTCCTACTGTCAGAATCTCTGATTTGCTAAGATAGCCAAAACAAATATAAGCTATTTCTATTCCATGGGTCCATGCTAATTGATAACGAAACCATCATCCTGTTCTTTTTGGTTTGGTTTGCATCAGGTTAATAAAACTAAACTAAGAAATATAGCCCTAACTGAGAAATAGCAAAAAAAAAAAGTTATGACTTAAATCCTTGGATTTTGTATTTCTCTTACCATTGGATTTTGATGGCTTCCTTTGGAAGATGGAAGAATCTCCTTCTGTATTACCAGCTCTCGCTGGACTTGATATGCTGTGTTTCTGGGCAGTTTCATCTCTACTAAATCAGATAAGAATATAAATAAATATTTCCCAATCAATGCTTTAAAAAATTAAACAATAAGTATTTTCTATATAACTTTATACCTGTATTTATTTATTTCTGGTTTGTTAATCATCTTTCATCATTTGTTTTCTAATCTTTGCATCTATTATCTAACCATTTGTATCACAGGTCCCATATTAAATAATACTCTATTTCTCCTTTGTCTTTAATTTCCATCATTAACCTTATATATTGTAAGCAATATCACTACCAGAATGTACAAAAGTGTAAATTAAAATATATAAAATGATAAATGTATAGAGAACTATGTTAGAACTATGGAAACAATAGATATAAGAATCTATTGTTGTATAATATCAAGTGCCGATATTTCTTTCTTTCTTTTTCTATGTTGAATATTGTATGAAAAAGAGAAAAATTGATGTAATTAGGATATATAACATCATGTATATTTTAAAAAGCGTGATACAACCAGTATATCACTGTTGCAAAGTTGAAATTGTGATATAAAATGACGAAAAACGTACAATAAAAAAAAATTAAACAAAATTAGAAATTATAGGGTATGTTGTCATTTCTCCCGCGGCATCAAATGGTAGTAATGTAGAAAATGGAATAAGAGAATCATTGTTCATTACTGTTCTTATAATGAACAAGGAATCCAAAGAATCATTTTATTCATTAAAAAATAGAAAAGAAAATCTAGAAAACTCTCCTGGCCTTCAAGGAGAGCTGGCAGCAGATTCGGACAGTGAGGAGGTTGGGGAGGATCATGGGCCAGTCCTGGAGTCTGGGGAAGGCTCTGATAAGGGCTCTGTGTTGGAGGCAGAGAGGGGGACAGGGCTGTATGCCAGTGATCAGCTCCTTCAGAGTCAGACATCAGTGAGGCAGACGAACAGCTGGAGCCTGTTTCCAGCAGAGTTGCCAGATGAAAGGAACAGCTAAAAAACAGGGGTCGACTTGGGAGTAAGGCCCCAAGCGGATGATGAATGGCCCCTCCCAGAGAAATAAAAGAGGAGCGAAAGGGAAGTGGAGTTTGCAAGAGACAATTAGTTCACTTAATTGGTTCGTGACTCTCTGAAATTCCTTGCCAAGTTTTGCAGATATCGGCCTGGCAGCTCTCCAAGCCAGATAAGGTCTGTGACTGTTAATCCTCCCTTGAAAGACTTTCAGGATGTGAATGAGCACAATTCACAGTAAATTAATAAAAGGGTTTTTTGTCGGGACCAGGAGTTTGCTTCAGGCTCTTGGGAAGCCTGAGTCGGAACAGTTATTGTGACTGTTGGCTGACCTGATGCTGCTTTCTAAGGAGACGGTGGATTCCCCAATCGTGGTTCGATACATGTTTGGTTCTTCGATATACGTATCATTGCAATTCAGAGACCGCTGAGAGATCGAGAGAGAGGGAGAAAGAAAAAGTACAAAATTAGCTGGAAAGCAAGGCTATTAAAGTAGATTAAATTGATAGTATTTTAAAAAAGAGTTATGTGTACAGGTAGGTTGTGATTAGTGTGACTTTGAATAGTGTGAGATTTGATTTAGGGCAAATTATAAATTAATAGCAGGTTGTATTTAATGCCAAAATTCAGTTAGTCAAGGAAAGTTCAAAAACTAAGATACTCATTTTAAAGAAATGTAGCAAAATACAGGAGATAACAGATATGCCTTGGATATGGGTTGATTCTGTTTTACTGGTTATAGTCCAGGTAGTCCTCAACTTACAACAATTCATTTAGTGACCATTCAAAATTACAACGGCACTTATGACCATTGCAGCATCCTAATGGTCATGTAATCACAATTCAGACACTTTGCAACTTAGTCATATTTATGATAGTGACAGTGTCTCTTTTTGCGATCTTCTGATAAGCAAAATCAATGTGAAAACCAGCTTCACTTAGCTACTATATTACTAACTTAACAACTGCAGTGATTCACTTAACAACAGGGGTAAGAAAGGTAGTAAAATGAAACAAAGTTAATTTATCAAATGCTTCGTTAAATGTTGGGCTCAATTGAGGTCACAATTCAAGGACTTTTTTTAATTAAAAAACATATACAATTTTTTATTTAAACATTTTAATTGTCTATTTCCATCATGCTGGAACCAATTATCCTATTTTCCACAGAAACGTAACTTCGAAAATCTGCTTTTTGTGCAATATATTTGAGATCTACATTGTGACAGGCCCATATAAATGGCTGTGTATGTGTGTGTGTGTGTTTGTGTGTGTTCCAGCATAACTCTGGAACACCTCAAGCAATTTCAATCAAACTTGCTACACAGATGACTTACTCTGTGGAAACAAATACTGTGGGAGTAAAACACCCCTAATACTCCTCGGTGTGTGTGTTCTGTTAAGATACAGCCTGTTATGCCTTAAAATGGCTTCTACTGTACTGCTGTAAAATGGCTTCTGTACAGCGCAGTGCAATTGCCATGGTAACAGCTTCACAGTACTCCACAAGGGGGCTCCCACTTTCCTTGACACTTCTGGGAGCACAGGGAAAACATTTGTAACTAATTTAATTGTCGCCGAAATCAAGGCCTTTCCTGCCTAATACAGGATTAGTATAAATAAATACCCAGGCAATGCCGGGTTATCAGCTAGTTTCAATTAAAGTCCCAAACCGAATGATTATCAAAGATGGACAGTTTTAGGGGCCAAAAGGAAACAAACATAAAAGAGAATTCCAAGCCAATCCATTGGCAGGGAAATGCTTTTGGAAAATGATGTCTCACGGTTAACAGGGTGGCTCTAGTTGTTGTGGAATCATCTGGAAATGACTTCTTTCCAGTGAATGTATCCTTCAAATGCTTCCTCACTTCCTTGTTGAATATACAGTGGAAGAAAAAGATGAACAGGCCCTGGATTGTGGTGAGAGAGGAGAAGAATAAAAAAATGTCACTCTTTCCTCATGATAAACAAAGTGATTAGATGATGGACTTTGTAAAGACATTTTATAAAGACATTATGATGGTACGGTATCTCACAGAAGTGGGTACACCCCCTCACATTTTGTAAATGTTTCAGTATAACTTTCCATGTGACAATATTGAAGAAATAACACTTGGTTCTCACTTTTGTTGCCAGCAGTTTATACATTGATGGCTGTGTGTTGCGCTATTTTGAGGGGACAGCACATTTACACTGTTATACAAGCTGTATGCTCACTACTTTACATTGTAGCCAAGTGTCATTTCTTCAGTGTTGTCACATGAAAAGATATACTTAAATATTTACAAACTGTGAGGGGGTGTGCTCACTTCTGTGATATAAGAGCCGAGGTGGCGCAGTGGTTAAATGC